AAAATTAACAGCTAAGATTTAATCAATTACATTAAACTTTTAAATACGATATAAATAATTAATATATCATAAACAAATTAATAATATTATCTTATCCATAATATATTATATTTTTTCTCTCTTTTCCTATTTTTATTTTTCCAACAGGCTACCTACAACATCTATATTTTTTTTCTTCTTTTCAATGAGTTGTTACAGAGATTATTAGTCAAAAAAAATTAAATGATTATTTAAAAAAAAAAAAAAAAGAAAGATAGACTTTGTTTAGGATTTATTATAATATGATATGTCCCTGTAATTGCGGCATGACTAATATTTTTAAAATATTTTAATTATCAAATAATTTTTTTTAAAAAAAATCTATAGAAAATAGAAATTACTAGATTTAAAAAAAATAAAAATTTGGATCTTGAAAAGATATATTGTTTTGATTTGGATAAATTATGTTGAAAAAATTAATAGAGGTGGATTTTTATTTCATTCAATAAGAAAATGACACATAATAAGTATAAGTATTTAAAAAAAAGAAAGAGGATTGTTAGTTGCGAGGGTATAAGTGAGCCAAAAAGGTGGATGGAAGGGTAATTTTAGACCAAAAAGATGAGTAGAAGGGTATTTTTAGACCAAAAGATGGATGAAGGGTATTTTTAGACCTTTTCCTGTAGTTCAGGGGTATTTTTGGCCCTTTTCCGTATAAATAATAATCAATGCAAAATATAACTGAGAGTTGAAAAGATAAAGTAGATGTGAAGCTTGATAATTAAATGAAATGATAATTTCATTTTAAAGATTATCTCGACTATTTTCATTCTTTTGTATTGTTACCTTTTCAAATAATAATTATAATAGAATTCCCTATGTACGTTGTTAGTAATTTATTTGAATTTATTGACATAATTATTGAAATTTTTACTTATACTTAGTTTCTTAGTTATAAAATTTAAAATATATGAGATATACACTTTATAAATCCATGAAACTTATATTTCGTGTTTCAAAATTTACGCTTCACCTCATACGACATAAAACGTCTCATTTTATGCCCCTTTTTTAAATGAATAATAAAAACTAGCTTCATACTTGTAGAATCTACACACTTTGCATTTAACTTGTAGCAATGCAATTTTTAGACCAGAGATTTGAAGTTCAACTCTGTTTAGTGTATAATATTTTTGTTCACCTACTAATTATTTACTACAAAGTGATTGAAGTTTTAATATTTTTTAAAAGTTAGTTACGTTTTAAATGATACCTCTAAATTTACTATTGATGCAATTTTCGTCAATTTAAATTCAGGAATGACCTTCCAAAAGAATGATTTTGAACCCCGCTTAATATTTTTGAAAAATAGTATCCGCTTTAAAAAAATAGCTAGGCAAAATTTTTATTATCCATCGAGCATAAGTTACGAACATAAACCAATCATAGAAATTCAAGATATTTTAATATAATGAACTTGTTTAATAGCACAAGTTTTGATTTATGCTTGATGGAAAATAAATTATTTTCCAACACAGTAAGCTTGCTTAATTTACCACAAGTTTTAACACATAGAAAAAATCTAAAACTTATGTCATTCTTGATGAGTGACAGAAGTTCTTCCTATGTATTTTTTTGTTGTTGCAAAATAAGGTTATTTTTTAAAAGATTTTATTAAATGGGACAAAAATATTAAGACCCGACACTTTTGGAATTTAGGCCCATTAATAGCAAAACTATGATTTTTGTTGGTTAAATGATTAATTCTTTTTATTTTCACGATATATGAACCTTTTAAATCAAAGTAAAACGAGCATCATGATAAAATGTTATATTAGAGTCTAATATATATATTTTTTGATTTCACAAGTTATATGTGAATAATTTTTAAAATTAGAGATAAAATTTAAATAGTAAGCTAAAAAGGGGTTATTTGTGCAAACCATCCTAGTAGAATTGCTAGTAAATTCTGATTATCATCAATGGGCCTATGGGCCGAAAAACTATTCCGGAGGGTAACGACACTCCTTTTATAATGTGTCACTCAAAACCCTAGAGACGCCGAACACAACAGAGGTAGAAGAACAGCAGACGCAATGGGTACGTTCGTCTATCAAATCTCTCTCTGTATTATACTCTTTGCTATTCATGTCGAAAATTTAGTTGAAAATGAACAATCTACAGGTTTTGTTTTAGTTTTTTTTTGTGATTAGGAACAGGTTCGTACTTCTAATTATCTGTTTATCTTAGATAATCGAACATTTTGTTCTAATGATTCTGTTAAACCACTAAATTTTCACTATAATTTGTTGCACTGAACAAAAGACAGATCTAGTAATTGAATCAGACAGATATACACACAATATGTCTGCTATAATCTGGCTATGGTGGGAGAACTAGCTCTGGACGTGGTTGTTTCTGTATAGGGTGATTGACAACTCTTCATAAGAAAACGACATCTTATTCTAATAGGCTATGAGTGGTGTTTCAATTATATAGTTTGATTTTACGGAATATGCTGCATTTTCCGCTACATAGTTGCCCTTTGATTAAAATTAAATGGTAATTTTATCCCAAATGCACGCATGAGATGAAAATGTGGATATTTTGCCCTAAAAGCTGGATAGGGTAAAGTTTAAATGAGACTTAAAGTTGTTTTGGGAAGTGGTATTTATGAATATCGGTGTTGCTGGAATAGTGGCTGGTGTTTGACGTTTGGTGGAAATGCAGGTGCTTACACTTATGTGTCGGAGCTATGGAGGAAGAAGCAGTCAGATGTTATGAGGTTCTTGCAAAGGGTGAGGTGCTGGGAGTACCGTCAACTCCCTTCTATCGTCCGTGTCACCAGGCCTACCCGTCCTGACAAGGCACGCCGCTTGGGATACAAGGCCAAGCAGGTACATTTTTGTTGTGTCTAGTAATATACTCCAAATGTACTTAATGGTAGGATTACAGACATTTTATCTTTTTTTTGCAAGATTTGTTCATAAAATGAGTAGTGAGTTTGGATATCTAGTGGAAATGAAGTTTGATTTGTGTTCTGTTTTTTTTTTGTGTTCATTAGCTGCCTATGGTTCAAGTCTACTGATATTTGTTCTCACTGTTGGGTCTTATTATTTCTGGATTATGTTGGAAACATACATCTGTGATTGCCGAGCTGCTTGTGAAGGCTGTATGACCTTTTGTTCATCGTTGGTTTATTTCTGTACAGTGTCTAGATGCGAAATATAGAAACACATGCATAATCCTCTATTTCTTATACCCTTTAGAGGAACGGTAATAATGCTAAAATCTTTTCTTCATCATGCTAAATGCTACCTTTTCCCATAGTATGGACTACTTCAGGATTGTGATTAAGATCATTATTTTTGCAGGGGTATGTGGTCTATCGTGTTCGTGTGAAACGTGGTGGAAGGAAGAGGCCTGTTTCCAAGGGTATTGTGTATGGTAAGCCCACCAACCAGGGAGTCACGCAATTGAAGTTCCAGCGCAGCAAGCGATCTGTTGCTGAGGAGCGTGCTGGAAGAAAGTTGGGTGGTCTTAGAGTTCTGAACTCTTACTGGATTAATGAGGTATCTGTTTTGACCTTTTTACCTATTTCTTGTACTTCGTAGTGCATTTTTTATGTGCTCACATGCTAGAGTGCAAAGTTAATTGCATTCGTAATTGAGACAAAGAAACGTGCTTTGTTTTCGATAATGAACAAATTCAACCACCTTGCAAGCTTTATTGTGATTTAGCTGATTAGTTCCACAAGTTTAGAAGTTTGTGTATCAAGAAATGTAGTCCTAATATGGCTTGCAAGTTGGTTGAATTTCTTTTCTGAGTATGCGAACACCACCTTGCAATTGGTTCTATCTCACTGACTGGGACTTGTAATTTTTTCTATTGTTTAGACTTTGTTTACACATGCTTAATAATGGTAATACATTATTCTTAACCTTATCTAATGCAGGATTCTACCTACAAGTACTTTGAGGTAATATTGGTTGACCAGGCCCATGCTGCTATTCGCAATGATCCAAGGATCAACTGGATCTGCAACCCAGTGCATAAGCACAGAGAATTGCGTGGTCTCACTTCAGCTGGTAAGAAATACAGAGGACTCCGAGGAAGAGGACATCTCCACCACAAGGCTCGCCCCTCAAGAAGGGCAACCTGGAAAAGGAACCAGACTCTGTCTCTTCGCCGTTACCGTTGATCTGCTTGACCTTTTTGAGAGACTGTCGCTTGCTTAATTTTTTGCATTATCTGGTTTTAGCCCTTTTATCTTGAAACATTCAGCTGTTTACAGTTTTGAAAAACTAGTTTTGAATTGAAGTATCCATGTTCTTGCTGAACGAGTCTCCTGAACTCAAAACAATAGATTCTAGTAAAATTTTGTGTTGGAAGTATATATTTTCTTGCAGCGATTGAGTTTCCTTGAAACTCAAATAATAGATTCTAGTAGATTGTGTTGAAGTATCCATTTTCATGCAGAGATGTGGTTGCATTCGAACTCAAGCAATAGATGTTAGATGTACATAAACTGGGAACCAAGGTTCAATATATTGATATGAGTTGTCCGTTAATATAAAAAATTTATAAAGGTCAAAAATGTTTTTGAACTTTGTTAAATTGAACAAAACCGTCCTCAGGTAATAATTTTTCGCCCCCTAACAATTTGCTACATATACTTGTGAAATAAATTAAGAATCAAAATCCTGTGCTATGAAATTAACATTTTTATCCCAGGTAATATGGGAATTGATTTTAAAAAAAAGAATAATTAGGAATGTTAATGATTTTTACCCGTTGAATATATATAAACAAGTTGGAGTATGTTATTTTGCCCCGTGAATATAATATTTTGACGTGTACACGATAAACGGAAGTCTTAATATATTATTATGACCCGTGAATATAATATTTTGACTTGTACAAGATAAAGGGAAGACTTTGCCGTCTTGGTTTGGTTGGAACATATTATATGGGATTAATTGGAATATATTATGACTTGTAAATAAAATATTTTGACCTGTACAAGATATATATCTTCTTTAGTTGTATGCAATATTTATACAAAAGACATACATATACAAAAGAAAAAGAAAGTCTCCTCATGGCTCAACCTTACAGAACTGCTTATCATTTCCAACCTCCCAAGAATTGGATGAATGGTACATTCTTAACACACTCATTATTTTTCAGAAATATGTTTAATTTTGTATAATCTAGTCTAAATTAATTCTTCCTTTTTTTTTTATTGATTTATGTTCGATCGATGGCTTGTGTCGTAATGCTGTTGAACTGGGAATACATGACATGTCGTTGAATTCACAGATCCTAATGGTAAGTTTTCCAGTCTAATCGTCAATCTTATATTCAGAGAACTTACAGTTTTATTACATAGCAATATTGTGTTAAGTAATAGTACTAGCAAATTGTTAAAGTTGTTTTACCAATTCTATCCTCCAATGATGTTGTGTCTCTGTTGAAAATCTTACGAAAAATACCTTCTTCACAAACACTTGTCTATGCTCACTTTGACAAACTTCATTAAATTTGCAGGACCAATGATCTACAAGGGAATTTACCATTTATTTTACCAGTACAATCCTGAAAGTGCAGAATGGGGAAACATAGCATGGGGTCATTCTACTTCAACTGATCTTGTCAACTGGACTATTCATCCTCCTGCTCTTTTGCCTTCAGATACGTATGACATTAACGGTTGCTGGTCAGGTTGTTACGATTTTGTGAAAATATTTCGTTAAGTTATAACCTTATTCAGGAGATCGACATCAAGTATAAATAAATACATTTCTTCACAGGTTCCGCAACAATTCTCCAAGATGGCACACCAGCTATACTCTATACCGGAGGCGATTCACAAAATGTTCAACTTCAAAATCTAGCTGTGCCGAAAGATCCATCCGACCCTTACCTTGTCGAATGGGTTAAATCTCCTCATAATCCAATCATGACACCAAATGAAGAGGAGAAAGAATCGTTTAGGGACCCAACCACCGCGTGGTTAGGGCCTGATGGGATTTGGAGAGTTGTTATAGGAAATGAAAGAAAAAACAGAGGAACTTCTGTTTTATACAAAAGCAAAGATTTTGTTCACTGGACAGAAGCAGAGCGGCCTCTGCATTCGTCCAGTGAAACTACAATGTGGGAATGCCCTGATTTATTCCCTGTCTTAATTGACGGGGAAAATGCACTTGACATTTCGGAGATTTTTTCAGGAATAAAACATGTGCTTAAAAATAGCGTGGCTCGTTCTTTTGTTGATTATTATACTGTTGGAGTGTATGACCATCACAACGATGTGTATACACCAGATGAGGGATCGGTAGACAATGAATCAGGATTACGATTGGATTATGGAAGGTATTATGCTTCCAAGTCTTTTTTTGATAGTGAGAAGAAGAGAAGGATCTTTATTGCTTGGGTTAATGAGTCTACAAGTAGGGAAATCGATTTAATTAAAGGATGGTCTGGTCTTCAGGTAATAATTCAGTTTACATGACCATTCATTTTTATCTGTCCATTATTCAGAAACAAATTTAATTTTAAACTTCTCATTTTCCGTAACAATTAAAACTAAGTTAATTCTCATTGTACTATTACAGTCATTTCCTAGGAAAATTTGGCTGGATAAAGGTGGAAAGCAATTGATTCAATGGCCTGTCGAAGAAATCGAAACCCTAAGGACAAACAAAGTTGATTTACAAAATATAACACTCGAAGCTGGTTCAAAACGTGAAATTTCTGGTGTCACTGCTGCACAGGTATACTTCTTTCAATGATTTTTCAACAATAAACCGCAAACTTATTTATTAATTCAATCTGTTTGAATTCATTCAGATTCAACCCAAACCCGCTAATTTGACACTCATACGACTATTTATTATTGTTTCAGGCGGATGTAGAAATCTCCTTCTCAATCCCAATCGCGGTGCTTGAGCAGGCAGAGGTGTTGGAATCAAGTTGGACAAATCCACAAGAGATGGCTAAAAAAAGTGGTTCATCAGCGAACACTGGTGTAGGACCTTTTGGGTTGCTAGTTTTAGCCTCAAATAACATTGAAGAATATACAGCAATATTCTTTAGAATTTTCAAAAAGAATGACAAGTTTGTTGTGTTAATGGGCTGTGACCAAAAAAGGTACAAAAATCACCCTAGATTTGGTTTTATTTTGATAACCAATTAATTTTTTTTTCTACTTGTAGATTTAGAAATTCATTATAATTTTTTTGAAATGCAGGTCATCTGTGGGTCTTGAATATGATAAAACCAATTATGGAGCCTTTTTGGATATTGATCCTCTTACAGAAAAATTATCACTAAGAACTTTGGTAAGTTTCACTACCAAATTATACAAATCTCCTAATTTTTAAGTTATGCAGCATATTCAAGTTCAAAATATGAAGTATATAAATTGTTGAGAGCAAGGCATGGATCTAGATCATGCGATTGTTCTATATGGTGATCTCTATCATTGTACAATACTTGACTTAATCATCTTATGATAATAACTAACATAACAGTCAACTGAAAAATGTTAGCTAGCTAAACTAGCGTACAATGACTTTCTCTGACAGTAAAGTAGTACACAAGAGTGGCGACTCACAAGGGGAGTCATGTAGCCAAACTAATTACTATGATTGGGCCGTTTGGTGGGTCAAAGTAGTCTAGCAATGGTGAAAAGACGATATCATGTCAACCTTATTGTGAATTAGAGCATATATCATTTTATCTTATTTCACTATATTTTATCATAAAATTAATGAAGATAATAAAATTGTAGCGTAGAAAATAACACACAATTTTCCTACGGGATCCAAAACGATCTATTCATTAGTGACAAGAAGGGGTTGCTCAGATGGTAAACATCCTCTACCTCCAATCCTAAGATACTATATGTTTTAGTCACCAAGAAAGCAAAAAAAAAAGATCTATTCATTAGTATGACATTTTATTATTATTTTTTACGTACAGATTGATCATTCGATAGTAGAAAGCTTTGGTGGAGGTGGAAAAGCTTGCATCACAACAAGAGCTTATCCTACTTTGGCCATCAATGATAATGCCCATATTTTTGTTTTCAACAATGGATCCCAACATGTTGACATCTCTACTTTGAGTGCTTGGAGTCTAAACCAGGCTCACATCAACTGAATCATTAATTAAAAATGTAATTTTTAAAATTTTCAACCACCAAAACATTTGGAGGTACAAATAAAAGTGTTTGCCATGTTGTTCATTTTATAGTTTGTTTGAATCGTTTACTGCTCTTGCATTTATGAAACTACAAGTACATACTTCCCCTTTTTTACTTTTCATTCTTATGCAATAATCTAATTTTTATAGATATGTACGCAATACTTTAAATCTTGTAATTTTAAATTTATCACTTAAAATGTTGAAGACATTCTTTTTGAAACATTATAAAAAAGAAGAGTATAATACTTAAATTGAGATGAAAGAGTTGTGTGATATTTTTGTTTGTCATTATTTCACTTTCTAATATCTATTATTTTACAATATATAAGGACAATGCAAAGAGTTTTGTAGTCCTTAATTACACTGTAACTATCTGGTTAGCTTGCAAGCAAAAGGGTTTTTTCTTCCAAATATATCCTTGTATTTGCTTTTTATTACTTCATATATTAAAGTATATTTCAAGCCCTTTTTGGTATTACATAAGCCCTTTTTATGTCTTATTTTTGCCCCTACTTTGTTTCTTTTTTATTTAAGTTACTACATATATTCAAGTTGGTAAATATAATAAACTTTGATTCTTTTAAAAATTCTTGTAAAGTTGTGAACAATGATGATGTCATCTAATAGAAATAACTATGCAAAAAGATAATTATCTAAAATGGAGATATATAATAACAAATTTAAAGAATTCATTTGGTACTGAGAGAGTACTCCGTCGATCATATTTTCTTAGTAATTCTAAAATTATCATTAGGTTTCTCTCGATTTTATTTTAAATAATTTTTTCATTTTGAAAATATAAATTTAGGTTTAATGATTTAAAGCAATTATACAATAGAAAATAATTTTCAAAATTGATCCTTAAAAAAAGGGGAAGAAATAAAATTATTAGTTACGTTGATACATTGAGACATGATTTAATTATTTAAATTTAGTTTATCCTAACTTGTTTGAGGCTGCTACATAATTATAATGTTATTATAAAGTAAATTTTAGAAAATGTTAAGGAAAATAGTTTTAAACAAACAATTTGGAATATAATATTTTGACTTAATATGTACAAGATGTATGAAAGTCTTCCCTTGCTTGCCGTCTTGGTTTGGTGGTAATATATTTCTATTTGGGATTAGTTAGAATGTATTATTTCGTATTAATTGGAATATATTATTTTGACTTGTAAATATAATATTTTGACTTGTACAAGAGACAGTATGATATATAGTCGATATATAACTTCTTTAATTGTATGAAATATTTGAACTAAGAAAAAGAAAGTAAAGTTATTATTTTTGTCAATAATTGATTCAATAATATTGTAAATCAATATCTTGTCTCCTCATGGCTCAACCTTATAGAACTGCTTATCATTTTCAACCTCTCAAGAATTGGATGAATGGTATATTCTTAATGAGTCTTTTCTTTTTATATCTATGATTAATTTTGTATAATTTAATCTAAACTTTTTTATTGATTTATGTTCGATCGATGAATCGTGTCATTGACTTATAATGTTGGTGAACTTCATATGCATGACATGCCGTTGGATTCACAGATCCTAATGGTAAGTTTTCCTGTTTAGAGAATTTACATTATCTTATACATTTTCTACCTTTATTTAGTAAAAAATATTAGTAAATATTAAGTAGTAATACTACTAGCAAATTGTTTAAAATTGTTTTGCCTATTCAATCCTCCATTTAGTTCCAACAGTAGTATATATTTATTCGAGCTTAAGGAAATGAATGGTTATAAACTTTTGATCGCCATTTTTTTAATGAGCAAATCTTGAAGATCAGAAGATAAAAGTGTTGTTCATGAGGGCAACACTTATTAAACTTGAAGTTGCACATAACTTAAGCGGGATAAAAAATTCATTACCATCAATTTTTAAGGACATTCTTGTAAATTATCCTTAACACTGAAACACATGTGGGTCAAATCGTTCACAAATACCAATCGAAAAGTACTTAGGAAAAAGTTTTATTTATATAAATAGTCAGACGAATCCATTGTTTTTTTCTAATTGATATACATAAATTATACACTGATTATATCCCATTATACAACCTGACTATTTTTAATTCAAGTGGTGGGCGACTATTCAGATTAATTCATTTTCTTAAAAATAGTTACATACTTTAAGACTATGCTTGACCTTCACAAACTTAATTCAATTTGCAGGACCAATGATCTATAAGGGAATTTACCATTTATTTTATCAGTACAACCCTGAAAGTGCAAAATGGGCAAATATTGCATGGGGTCATTCTACTTCAACTGATCTTGTCAACTGGACTATTCATCCTCCAGCTCTTTTGCCTTCTGATCCATTTGACTTCAATGGTTGTTGGTCAGGTTGTTGAAATTTGTGAAAATATTATGTTAAATTTTTTATCTTATTTAGAAAATTCACATTAAGTTGACATAGGCCTACCTATCAAGCATTATATTTATATGCACGAGTTCAATTGAATTCAGAACCTTCTACGTAGAACTTAAATTTGAATCCGAGGAAATTATACGTTCAAATGTTAAAAATCTTTTAAGACTGAACCTACAAAATTTAAATTTTGAATCTGCTTTTCATAGGTTCCACAACAATTCTCCAAGATGGCACACCAGCTATACTCTATACTGGATGTGTGTCACAAAAGGTTAACCTTCAAAATCTAGCCGTGCCCAAAGATCCATCGGACCCTTGCCTTGTCGAATGGATTAAATCGCCTCATAATCCAATCATGACACCAAATGAAGATGAAAAAATTTGGTTTAGAGACCCAACCACAGCGTGGTTAGGGACCGATAGAATTTGGAGAGTCATTATAGGAAACAAAAGAGAAAACAGAGGAACTGCTCTTTTATACAAAAGTGAAGATTTTATTCATTGGACTGAAGCAGAGCGACCTCTGCATTCGTCCAATGAAACTACAATGTGGGAATGTCCTGATTTTTTTCCTGTCTCAATTGATGGGGAAAATGGACTTGACACTTCAGAGATATTTCCAGGAATTAAACATGTGCTTAAAATTAGCGCGATGAGTTCTTCTGTTGATTATTATACTATTGGAACGTATGACCATCACAACGATGTATACATACCTGATGAGGGATCTGTGGATAATGAATCAGGATTAAGATTAGATTATGGAAAGTATTATGCTTCCAAATCTTTTTTTGACAGTGAGAAGAAGAGGAGAATCTCCATTGCTTGGGTTAATGAGTCTACAAGTAAGGAAATCAATTTAATTAGAGGATGGTCTGGTCTTCAGGTAATTAAATCTCCCAGTTTACGTGACGAATTTTCTGTCCGTTAATTCATTTAAAAAAAAATATTAATCATAAACTTTTTCTTTCATTATATTACAGTGTTTTCCTCGGAAAATTTGGCTGGATAGAGGTGGAAAGCAATTGATTCAATGGCCTGTCGAAGAAATAGAAATGCTAAGGACAAACAAAGTTGATTTACAAAATATAACACTCGAAGCTGGTTCAAAACGTGAAATTTCTGGTGTCACTGCTGTTCAGGTATAATTCTTCCTATGAAAAATCTTGTCAATTTCTTTTGTTGATATTATTCGTCTAAATTCAAAACAACTTGCTAATTTGACACTCATTATACGACAGGCTGATGTAGAAATCTCCTTCTCAATTCCAATCGCGGTGCTTGAGCAGGCAGAGGTGTTGGAATCAAGTTGGACAAATCCACAAGAGATAGCTAACAAAAGTGGTTCAACAGCCAACACTGGTGTAGGACCTTTTGGGTTGCTAGTTTTAGCCTCAAATAACATTGAAGAATATACAGCAATATTCTTTACAATTTTCAAAAAGAATGACAAGTTTGTTGTGTTAATGGGCTGTGACCAAAAAAGGTACAAAAATCACCTTAGCTTGGTTTTACATTTTAAAAAAAAGAAGTTGATGTTTTTCAAGAGGTTTTATATGCTTTATTTTGATAACAAATTAATTATTTTTCTACTCAGAGATTTATAAATTCATTATAAAATTTTGAAATGCAGGTCTTCTGTGGGTCTTGAATATGATAAAACCAATTATGGAGCCTTTTTGGATATTGATCCTCTTACAGAAAAGTTATCACTGAGAACTTTGGTAAGTTCCACAATTAAATTAATTATACGAATCACCTGAGAGCTCTTGGCGAGCCGTCTAATAAAAAGGATCTATTCATTAGTACTTCTAAAAAATAACAATGTTTGTTTCCATTTGCAGATTGATCATTCGATAGTAGAAAGCTTTGGCGGAGGTGGAAAAACATGCATCACAACAAGAGCTTATCCTACTTTGGCCATCAATGATAATGCACATTTATTTGTTTTCAACAATGGATCCCAACATGTTGACATCTCCAATTTGAATGCTTGGAGTTTAAGCCAGGCTCACATCAACTAAATCATTAATCAATGGATGATCAATCACTTTAATTTCTTCTTAATCAATTTCAAATTAAAAAAAAAATGTAAGTTTTTAAATTCTCAGTCGGTATGAATAAAGAAAACAAAATTGTGTGCCTTTACCATTTTTAAAAGTTTGAAATCTAATAATTATATAAATAGTTACCTAATTAAACTGATGAAATATATATAATGAATCAATCAATGCATTTGGACTTCCAAATGTTGTACTAAATACTCCTGACTTGATCCTTCCTTATCCTAAGTATAGTGATTGATATATTAATTTATTGTAAATTATTGTTAATACTTAGTTTCCAATCAAGATATTTTATACGTTATTAACTTTTTGACCAGGGAAAAAAATGAGTTGAGGTTCTCAACGTATCTTCTTTTTTTCATATGTAGGATTTAAATCTGAGATTTCTAATTTAAGGATGAAGAAATCTCAATTGTCCTATCACGATCCATCTTAATAATTAAATGACTTAGTTGGTTCATGTTGGACTTTTAAATAAATGTTCGTGGAAAATTTTATTGTAAATATTAAATATTGACTTGCTTGTGTTGATGATGTACAAGCTGCCAAAAGTGCCTAAACATGAGTATATTATTGTGGTGAGTTGCTTCATTTTGATTAGTTAGCTACTCCTACTATTTAATGAGAAAATAACGTGTCCACAATCCTGATCTTTTAAAATTT